TTGTGATTTGTGGGTGCTGGTGCTTTTTATCGTTCACAAGGAGATGATTATGATATTAAATTGAAATAATGATTACGATACCAATCACCGCATCTAGTCCATACGTGACTGTTACTTCGTACAGTGACGCTAGTACTCTTAGCAAAAAACCATCGGTAAGGGTCATGAACGTCTTATAATTACCTGAGAGAATATTAATTTTTTGAATAAAACACTCGATAGTTGTTTATAAATTTTATAATCGTTTCTGAGAATATAATTCTAGAATTTTCTGGAATCTCTCTGTTATAATTTTTACTCTGATATAATTATAATTCTATGCTCTCGAATTTAATTCTTTCTCGTTCTCTGATAAAATCTATCTTAATATCCATTTACCGATAGAATTTATAATACTCGAGTTATAAATAAATAAATAATTTATATAAACTTTTTCGAAATCGAAGACAGACTTTCCCTTTTTGTCGAAAATAACTTTTTGATTTGAATATTGAATTTTTATTTATCTTCGCACTTTTATTTGTTTATCAGAATTATTTCATTCAGTGGAAAAATAAAGTCTCACGTCTAATGCGATTTTAAAGTTGAATTTTGTAGCAAAAATAGACGAATTTGTTTCTTTTGGGGAATCACGTGTGAAAGACGTCACTACTGATAGAAATATGATTAATTCGCTTAAAATTCTACAATTGTTATTTATTTTTCGTTTTCTTATTTATTTTTCTTTTTAACTAATTTTTTAATTTTTACGTTTAATGATTTTTTTACTCTTGAATTTAATTAATTAGTCATTTTTTTGTGTTTTTTTATTGTTCAAAATGGAAAATTTTTCTCTAATTGGATTTTATTGCCTTTATTGATAATTGTTATAATACACTCTTAAATGTCTTTTGACGTCGTTCCAATAATTTTTATTATTACTTTAATTGATAGAAATTTAATCTTAATTTACTTTCTACTATTATTGTCAATTGAGAATATTTTTCAGGGGAAAAAATTTTTTTACGCATAGAAGAAATTATTTTCTAAAGTGCATTTTCGGAAAATATTTTTTGAACTACTTTTTTCGAAAAATAATTTTTTTGAATTTGCATTTTCGTTGAGAAATATTTTTCTTTCTCCACTTTGACAATTTTAATTTAATTGTAAAATTAAGTTTGATGTGAATGAAACTTGAAACGCTTCTTAATCGATATTGACATATAGATAGATAAATGAGTTTATGGTTGATGATGCTTTGTATTTCCCTGTATTGTGGGTAATGAACGATAAAGCAGACTAACGTCGATCTAAATTTACAGGGTAAGCCAATCGCTGAAGAATTCTAATCCTCTGCCAGCCCTCATTGTATGGCCGTGTTTGTGTTAGCTAACAAAGTGAAACAATGAGCCAAATGCAACAATTTTACAGTTCTCTTTATTAAGTTTCTTTTTCTCTTACAATTTATATCGAAAATATTTTAACTAACATTTTTTTTTGTTTAGTCTATTTTACTTTTAATCATTCGCATTTTGCCATTTTCTAAATTGCACTCAATTTATTTAGTTTGTTATTAAAAACTGTTAACTAATTAATTATTTATTGAAATATTTATTTAAAAAATAAAAATAATAATATATAATAAATAACAATAAATAATAAAATTATAAAAAAAATAAAATAAATGAATAAAGTAAGTAAAATAAATGCGAAATATTCTAAGTAATCACTGTCCATTTTAGAAACACGACATTTGAGAGCAAAAAGTGAGATTTTTCATAACAAACAAAAAAATCTCAATCTTTGACAATCAGTAATGGAGATTCTATTTGAATTTAATTTAAGATGTAAATTATTCGAATAATAAGAGAAACTTATAAACTACAGACTATTTAAAAGAAATAAATCGATAAAAAATATCGTGTGAGCACTTGACGTGTATTTATGAATTGAATTAACGTCACGATATTATAGAGAATAATTTTTATAGTCAAGTCCTAAATTTTTTCTCTTTTCTTCATTCCGGTTTTCTGTCATAGTTCCTGTAACTTTTTTTTATTTTTAAACAGGAAAAAATTCATTATAAATAGAAATGGATTTTTTACGTTTTAGAAAATTATTTAAACTATTTTGTTTTGTATTGAAAACAATATTTTTATTATTGAAACTTTTGCAGTAAAATATGAGTTTAATTTAAAAAATTTGTTGATTAAAAAAATTGGTTAAAGAAAAAGTTGATGAATCAAAAAAAAATTAAAATTTTACAAAATTAAAATGTTACAGAATTAAAAAAAAATTAATTAATTTAATTAATAATTAATTTAATTTAATTAATAAAATAAAATAAAAAAAAAATTAATTAATTAATTAATAAATAATAAATATATATATATATATATATATATTAATTAATTAATTAATTAATTTTAATTAATTTTCAACGTATAGGTAGTAAAATAATTTATTAAATTTTTATTTCTATTTTAGTATTTTTGAAAAAGTTGGGAAAGTAGAAACAAAGCGGAAGAAAAAAAAATTTCTATCAAGAAGAGAGAAAGAAAAAAATTGGCAAACTATTTTCAAAGAATAAAAATTTTATATTTATTTATTTGAAAGTATATATCAAAGGTAATTTAGCTGTGAAATTATTGTATTATTATAAATTCGCTGGAGTCAGTGACCGGAAGATTTTTGTATATAAATTTTCAAAGGTTTGCCATTTGCCTTTATGGGAGCGATAAGAAAATTATTGCTTTCCACGCACAGGCTTTGCAAGTAGGACAATAACAGTTTTCTATTGACATTAACCAGAACACTTTTTGATATACATTAATATTTATTTTCAAACACAAGATTATTTTTCTTTCACGCAATAATAAAACGGAGATTTTGAGAAAAATTTCAATTTCGCTAAATTTATAAGTAGAAAAAAATAAAGTTTAGGTTTAAATTTGAAAAAGAAGGTTTTTTTCTCGATATTTTGAATTTGGAATTACGAACCAGTGTGTTTGAATTTTTTTTTATCTGTTAATATAGTTTAATATCAACTTTAATATCGATCAAACTTGACCGTTCAATTGTTTAGGTCAATTTACATGAATTGAAAAGATACTATTTTACTTGAGTAAATATCCAATGTTCGAGTTGTCCTATCTTGTCCTTCACTTTACAAACGCATTCCCATAAATAACAATTGAACTAATTGAAAAAATCAAACTAAATACTTTTTCGAAAAAGTAAATTTCGTTCTATTAATTTTTTTCTTTTTAAATTTAGTGTTTCGGTCTTATAGAGACATTATTAGTTGGCAGGAATTTTTTTTGCCCCTAATAAACGAATTTTCTTTTTACTTTTACAAAAAATGTTGATCGGTCAATTAAGAAATTTACGTAATTATTTTCTGTTTTTTACATGAAATTCATTATATATATATGTTTATTTTCTCTCTCTCTCTCATCTCATCTCTCGTTGAAAAGAGATTCTATTCTGTACGTACGATATAGGTACCTAACTTCTGTCCGAAGGTCTTGTGTGTTTTATTTTTATCATCGTGTTTACGCTGAAAATTTATGACTTTTGAAAATCAAAGGACTGCGGAATAGAGAAATTGATTTATCTTTTTTATTTTTAGATTATAGGATCATTAATGGAAATTGTAACAGAGAAAAAAGAAAAGAATTCGATTTTATTGTTTCGGAAATATTTGACAAATTTGTTTTATCATTTTTTAAACACAAAAAGAAAATAGAATGAAATATAAATAAGCAATGCATTAAAAGCATTCATATAATAGATAAAATATATTATGATAAAAGCTTGACTCATAATTGGATAAAGGAAGCCCCTCTGCACTATTTGCTTTCTGTATCTGAAACATACCCTCATTATATTATGAAAAATATTTTCTCAAATATAATCGATTTCCAAATTTCCATAAATAGTCGAAGTGATTTTTTTCTGTTGAATAAAATTTTACTATTTTTTTTTTAATTGTAGATTTTGGTTCTTCTAATTTTACTTTAATTACTGTTTATTTATTATAATTATTAATAATTAATTTTATTAACTATTTTTTGTATTTATTATTATTTTATCATTTTTATTATTTTATTTTTTATTATTTTATTTTTATCATTTTATTTTTATCATTTTTTTTTAATAATTAATTATTAGTTACAATCAATAATTAATTCAGTTATTATTAATTAAAATTACAATTGGAAAATAATTATTAATTACCTGTAATTAAATAGAGTTGTAATTTAAAGTTGGTGAGAAAATTGAGAAAAATATTGTGAAAGAGGGAAAATGTAAAAAAACGGAAAAGTTTGGTTCTTTTCAACAGTAGAATAATTATTTTGTGGGAAAATTTAATTAAAGAAAAATTTTTTTCAACAAGCAACAGGTGCATTTGAAGATGTATCAAATTTACCATAAAATGCTTTTTTTTTTGCTTTCCAAATATGTGCACAAGCAGCTATGAACCATTATGCAAAAGAGCTAATGTAACAACGGCGTATAAGTGGTTTGTTTAGAGCGAAAGAAATGACGCACGACCCAGAAAAAAAGTCCTTTTTGAATATAATAACTCTGTCCAATTATAAACATCACCTTAAGCTTAGAAAAGGCTCATTAGTGTCTCTCTTCTCATTTCTTACTTGTCGCCGTGAAAGGAAAAAAAATTGATAATAAAGAAAATAAAAAGAAATAAGTAGAAATTTTCCAAATATAAAAATTGTACGAATTTGAACGAATTATTTTTTTCCAATTTTTTTTAGAGAAAATGCAATGGATAGAAATTAGAAATTTGTAAATTTGGAATTTATTTATTATTTTATTATTAAAAGAAAATAATAAGAAATAATAATAATAATAATAATAATAATAATAATAATAATAATAATAATAATAATAATAATAATAATAATAATAATAATAATAAGAAAATACTATTAAAGAAAATAATATTCTTGCATGGAATAAATTATGTAATATTAATATAAGATTATTTTTTGCTTCAGGTTCAAGAACTTTTCAATGCAATGAAGGAGCAATCATCGACGAGATATGAAAGAGAAAAAGAAGTTCCTCAAAGGTCCTACAGCAGTGCTGCGACTTTAACAAGTATAGGTGCTGATATATCGCCAAGTTCATCACACTTTTTCGAGGTAAATAAATTTTTTTTCTACTTTTAAAAAATTGAACTGTGAAAATTAAACTAAAAAAAATTTTTTATGCACTTTCCTTTTTTTTTGTACTTTATTCATTATTCATAGTTTATTACTAAAAATAAAATTGAATCAATATTTTTTTATTTCTTGTTAATAATTTGTGAATAGAAGTAAATTGAACTATTTATCAATGTCGAATTTTTCACTTACCAATTCTGAAAGCAACTGATAAAATTTCATTTTCAGGTACTATATTTGGGAAAAATAAAATTAAACCATGGGAAACTTCCTCAAGGAAAATTGCCTCATTCAATAGTCTCTCAAACGTTCATAGACGATGCTTTGATTAAATTACGCGTACGTGGACTCGAAAAATCAAAATCATCTGCAAGTAATTTGCTAGCTCAATGCCAACAGCTCAAAAGTCAATCAAGTACTTCCGATCTTTTATCAAACATCAGGAGAGATAGTGTGGTAAGAGAAAATATTGTCAATTGTATTTTTTTGCATTTATAAATTCTGTCATTTTTTTTTTTTGAGGGAAATTTATTGATTATTATTTAGTTTTCCTTTATTTTTGCTTCTATTTCTCAATTTTTGGAAAATTGGAGTAAAAAGGGAAAATTAGAAAAGGAAAAAATTTGAAAAGGGAAATTAGAAAAAAGAAAAAATTAGAAGAGGGAAAAATTAGAAAAAGTATAATTGTAAAAAGGAGAAAAGAATTTTTTTTGGACTAAGAGAAAATTTGTTTAATTACAGGATTCGAGTGCTAGTGAATTAGGAAGTACAGACAATGTATCGGGAAATAATTTATTATCTCCAACAACGTCTATTAGTCCATTGGGAACTGCCAAAGTGCTTGGCGGTTCCGTTGAAACTCTTCCAGTAAGAAACAATAATGTAGCAGAGAGTGATGAACAGGATAGTAAACAGGTGCCAAAGAAAACTACTACCAGTATACAAATACCTGAAACAATGAGAAATCGTGCGGCTTCCACTGGTAGTGTTCTAACTCCTAGGAGAGACTCTTGTACTGATGGAAGTGACGAGCACAATCGTACCATGTTATTTCAAGTAATTGACCATTTTCATTACCAAAAAACAAAAAGGAAATTTCAATTTCAAATTAAAAAAATTAATCAAAATTATTTATTTTTATCTTCATTTATTCATTCTTTAATTTATTAATTGAAAAAAACTAGTCTAATTGAAAATAATGTGAGAGAAACATTAGAACAATTTTTTTTATTTTATTTTTTCATGAATTTTAATTTTATAGAGTATTTTTATTATTCTCTAGAATATTTTCTAATTTTTTTTGTATTTAAAAAATAATTTTTTTGATATTTGTAATTTAATTTGTTGACTTTTGCTTCTCGTTTTATTTTTAACTTCTTTTTGTCTGTAATCTTTTTTTTGTTCGTAACTATTTTATAATTTTAATTTTGTTGTGTTTTAAAATTGTATTCCATTATTTTCTATTGTATATTAATAATTTTTATTTGTAAATTTCAGGTAGGTCGACAGGACCTGCGTCTAATTAGTCCGGACCGAAAGCAAGTTTTGCTGCACAAACTGTTAAAAAATGTAGCAACTTGCGTTCAAGGAATCGCAAATCCAGAACATTTCGGTTTTATATGCAGAGATCCTGGCGCCGAATGTTTCGTTGCTTACGTTTTTAAGTGCCAATCCGAATCTGTCGCTGATGATCTAGTCGGAGGTAAATTGTTCTCTTTTATCTTATTCTTTTTTTGTAGTACTTTAGACAATTTTTAGAAATTTTAATTAAAAATCTTATCAAAAATTTTCTATTTATAAAAATAATTATATTTGTTACTTAAATTTTTGATTCAATACATTATAATAATCGTAAGTTTCCTTTCCGTTAGCAAATTATCTGCATTCATTTGTTTGTTTTGAAAATTTAATTTTGTGGGTTAAGTATTGACATTTTTTATATATTTTTTAATGTCAAACTTTTTAATGTGGAAAATACTTTACTTATTAAATTGTCTCGAATCTTTGGTAAAAAATCTAAAATTATCAAAAATTCGAAAAATTTCAAAAATCCGTTTTTCTTAAAATTCAACATTTTTTCCTCTCTTTTATGGAATTTAGCTTTATTATTTTTGTGCTTTTGGAAAATACTTTACTTATTTAATACTCTCGACACTTTGGTAAAAAATCTAAAATTAATGAAAATTATCAAAAATTCAAAAATCTGAATTTCTTAAAATTCAACATTTTTTCCTCTCCTTAATGGGATTTAGCTTCATTATTTTTGTGCTTTTGGAAAATACTTTACTTATTTAATAGTCTCGACTCTTTGGTAAAAAATCTAAAATTATCGAAAATTATCAAAAATTCAAAAATCTGAATTTCTTAAAATTCAACATTTTTTCCTCTCTTTTATAGGATTTAGCTTCATTATTTTTGTGCTTTTGGAAAATACTTTACTTATTAAATTGTCTCGACTCTTTGGTAAAAAATCTAAAATTAATGAAAATTATTAAAAATTCAAAAATCCGATTTTCTTAAAATTCAACATTTTTTCCTCTCCTTAATGGGATTTAGCTTCATTATTTTTGTGCTTTTGGAAAATACTTTACTTATTTAATAGTCTCGACTCTTTGGTAAAAAATCTAAAATTATCAAAAATTCGAAAAAAATCAAAAATCCAAATTTCTTAAAATTCAACATTTTTTCTTCTTTTTTATGGGATTTAGCTTCATTATTTTTGTGCTTTTAGAAAATACTTTACTTATTAAATTGTCTCGACTCTTTAGTAAAAAATCTAAAATTATCAAAAATTCGAAAAAATTCAAAAATCCAAATTTCTTAAAATTCAACATTTTTTCTTCTCTTTTATGGGATTTAGCTTCATTATTTTTGTGCTTTTGGAAAATACTTTACTTATTAAATTGTCTCGACTCTTTGGTAAAAAATCTAAAATTAATGAAAATTATCAAAAATTCAAAAATCCGATTTTCTTAAAATTCAACATTTTTTCCTCTCTATTATGGGATTTAGCTTTATTATTTTTGTGCTTTTGGAAAATACTTTACTTATTTAATAGTCTCGACTCTTTGGTAAAAAATCTAAAATTATCAAAAATTCAAAAATCTGAATTTCTTAAAATTCAACATTTTTTCTTCTCTTTTATGGGATTTAGCTTCATTATTTTTGTGCTTTTGGAAAATACTTTACTTATTAAATTGTCTCGACTCTTTGCAAAAAAATAAAAAATTTATTAAAAATTATCAAAAATCCGAAAAATTGAATTTCTAAAAATTCAACATTTTTTTTCTCTTTTATACCATTTAGCTTTATTATTATTAGAATTTTTATTCAAGAGAAAAAATGGAAAACTGAAAAAATTTAGAATTTTTTAAAAATTACAGGCCTTTTCCATGATTTCCCTGATTTCCAGAAGCCTTTTAAAAATTCCATACCATTTCCATGATTTCCATGATTTCCAGATTCTGTAGGAACCCTGCTTTTGTCTGACTTTCTTCTAAATTATCGAATTCAGTGATTTCTGGGGTGAATTTGGTTAAGTTGTAAAATGATTAATTTCTATTTGAATTCGTTTTTTTGAATGTAGAAAATCTGATGTTAATTTAATTCTTTTTTCGTTATGCACGGCAAAAAATATTTAGCTGGATGAACTACAGATTTCACTTTAGTAGCGAAATTATTCAGTGCTTCAATTAATACTTTCGTTATTCTAGAGAAACTTATCGCTATTTCAAGTAAAACTTTTTTCAGTGTGTAATAATTATTATTTCTTTAAAAAGTATTTAATTTAAAATGGCTTTATAAAATAAGCAATGCAAAAGATGACCCAGATACTAATTGTAATTGTTCTAGCCATAGTTTAAGTCTAGTTATGTAAATTCTATTTAAATTGAGACCATTGAGTGAAATTATTTGAATTTTAGTTAGTTAAATCTCTTTGTTAGGTTATAATAATTATTTCTTTAAAAATTTTTTAAATTGTTTAAAATAAGCTGCCCCATACAACATTCCCGCGCGCTTGCGCGCGGATAGTTTGGCTAGTTGAAAATAAATGAAATATTTATTTTCAATTGAATCAAAATAAGTATTGATTTTAATTGGATCAAAATAAATATTTGATTTACTTTTAATTGGATCAAAATAAATATTTGATTATTTTTTAATTGGATCAAAATAAATACTTTAATTTATTCCTAATTTGATCAAAATATATATATTGAATTTTGAATAATACGATTCGAAATATAAATTTCATTGAGAATTAGAATGTAAACATGTATTCAGAAAAATCGGCACAATAATATTGTCATTAATTTAATAATAAAATTTTTCAGCTATTTCACAAGCTTTCATCGCTGGTTACGATGGAAAACTCAAAGAGAGACACGCAGTTTTTTCCTGCGAACATTGTCCCATGGTCTGGTACAAGAAATTAGCTCAAGAAATTGAAGGTAAAATTTTTCTGTTATATATTTTCTATATTTTTTTGATATATTTTAATCAAATATGTACAATTAATTTTATATTATATATTTTCTTTATTTACATTACATATTTTATTCAATAAAAATTTGAATATTTTATAACTTTTTATTTACTATAAACATTTTATATTTAATTCATTATGTAGATGTTTGTTTCATCTAATTTGTTTCATTTTTCTTTCGTTTATTAGAAAATTTAAAAATTAAAGAAATAACTTTTCATTTCCTTTTATTTTTATGTAATTATAATTTTTTTTTTAATAAATTTTTCGTAATTCTGATTGTCTGTTTTTTCTTATTATTCTGCAGGTCAACATGAAAGGAAAACGCAAAGTATCATTTTCTCGAGAATGGAAATGTTGTCGGAAGAAGAGCACGAGATAATAGTGACGAAATTCAAAGGTTCTGAAGCCGGTGGCTCTGGAGCTGGCTCGAGTATCCGGGAACAAAATAGTTTTTTAATGGCGCTCCTTCGCGCACATTGTGAATCGAAACAGTCTAGACATGTTCACGACACGGCTGAAAATAGGTGAGCTTTCTTTTTTGTTTTTTTTTTTATAAAAAGAAAAAAGTACAAACGGCATTTTCATAAATTATGAAGAAGGGATTATTTCAAAATGAGAAACGAGTTCAAAGTGAAAATAAATTTTAAAGTAAAAATAAATTTCAAAGTAAAAATAAGTTTCAAAGTAAAAATATGTTTAAAAATAAAATTAAGTTTCAAAGTCAAGATAATTATTAATTATTAAAGTAAAATTAAGTTTTAAAGTTAATTTTTTTTAGAATAAAATAAATAATATAAAAATTTTTCTCTATTGAAATGAAAAGAATAAGTAGACAAATATTTCAAAGAGAGTAAATAATAAAGAAATTTAATTTTAACAGTTGTGTAAATTGAGAAATAATTTTGCCATACGTTTGTAATTTACCCTTTTCAGGAGCGAATTTTTGAATCAATATCTCAGTGTCGGTGTGGGAAGTACGATATTTATGAAAGCGAAACGCTCCCTGACAAATAGTTTTGATAATTTAATGAAAAGGAAAGGCTCGAGAGACGACTTTTCTTTACCGGTTCAAGTTCGAGAGTCGAATCAGTTGAATTCAGCGATGCATAAAGCCGGCAGTCAGAGTCCTGTGAACTTAGGATCGCAAACAATCTCTGAGGTTTCACCCGAGTCTGAAAGACCAAGATCACTTCGAGTTTCTCCCGAGCAACAATTGACTGTTAACACAAGTCCAAAGAGTCCAATGATGGATATGTAAGTTTCCTTCACACTTTTTTTCCTCCCAAGGCAAATTTTTATCATCGAGAGTTTATTTATTTTGTTTTATTTTATTTAATACTTGTCTTTAATTTTATTTTATTCATTTTATTTAATAATTTATTTTTCTTCGAATTTTATTTTATTTAATAATCTATTTTTCTTTTTAAAAACGCAAATTTACGGTTATTTTTATTTTTTTTTCAGTTTCCTGAAAGTAGGAAACTCACCAAAAATGTCCCCAACTGAATCGGAGGAAGCGAGTAGATTGCAAGCGAGCGGTTCTTGGAGACAAGCGATTCTCAATCGTGTTGTAACACCAGCGAAAGATAAGGACAAGGAAATTGACAAATCAGGAATAAATGTGATTAAAAATCAACAATTAAATGTACGAAAACGAACTAAAGGGGAATTGCGCGAACTTTGGAAGAAGGCGATTAATCAACAAAGAATACTCATTCGAATGGAAAAAGAAAATGCACGATTACGTGGTAAGTTACTTTTTTTGTATAATTTTAAATTTTACTTCTTTTGTCGAATTTCGAATTGTCTAGCGAGCCTAATGTGTACCTTGTGTTTTCAGTTCATCAAGAGGAAGCAACAGTTAAGAGGATTAAACTTGATTATGACGAACTTAGTGGTTGTGCTCGTCAATTAGTTGAAGTTTGGGATCTCCTGGTTAGCAAGGAATCGAGAATTTCGACAAAGTGTGATAATCAAATGTTGCTTCAAGCTATTAAACAAGGTAAATTTGTTTTTTAATTTTTTTTTAATGGTAATATTTTTATTATAATAGATGTAAATGTTTTTTGTTTAAAATATAATCCACTTATTTATTTCTCTTTTTTAATATTTTTAATTTATAATATTTTTATTTATAAGGTTGCTAAATGTTAGGGAAATCAGTGAAGTCAGGGAAAATAAAATTGGCCAGGAAATTATATCAAAAGTGCTGTAAAATATATCAAATTTCTAGAATTACGACAAAAATTCTTGTTTTCGATGTTAACAAAACTCTTTTGAAAAACTTAACAACTCTAAATTCTTCTTGAATCTTTTTTCATTTTAAAAACTTAAATCACAGTGGATTTTAAAATAATATCTCGATTTTCCTTATTTTTTAAATAATTGAATTTATTTTAAATAATTGAATTATTTATAGAATAACTTTTCTAAAGACATTAATTACAATTAACTTTGAAAAGATTTTTGTTATAAAAACTGTTGCAACTTTTTTAAAACAATTCAATTTTCAGAAGTTTTAAACTTTTTTTTAAAGTTTCAGTTGCTGTGAAGAAATTAATAACAATTGAATATTTATTTACAAAATTATTTAAGTCTCTAATATAATTTTATCTAAAATTAAAAAAAAATTAAGTTTTGCAAGAAATTGTAATTCATGTTTTTAAAGATACTTAAAATTTTTAAATGATTTTAATAAAGAATTATCAAATTAGTTGAAATTTTGTGATATTGAATTGAAAATAACTAAAATTAAAGAAGTTAAAATCAATCAAAGTTAAAGAATTTCTTCAGAGAATTAAAATAAATGGAATTTTCAAATTATATCTAAAATAATTTAATTTTGAAAGTTGTTATTAAAATGTTTATAAACTAGCAAATGTTATGATTCTTAAATTTTCATAAAATTCTTTGAAACTATTAATTTATTTTCAAAAATTGTAATAAAATTCTTCGCAAGATTTCAATTATTTTCATAAATTGTAATAAAATTCTTCGCAGAAATTCAATTATTTTCAATACAATTTAAATGTAATTCCTCAAAAAATTGCATTATTTAAAACATTTGTTTATAAAATTTTACGAATGAATTCAATTATTTTCAATAAATACAATTTTTTTAAATTTTCTAGAAAGAATTTTCATTTTCTTCGAAACAATTAAATTATTTTCAAAAATTTTAATTAAAATCTTGACAAGAATTTAATTATTTTCATAAATATTAAAATTCTTCGCAGGAATTAAATTATTTTTAATACAATTTAAGTAAAATTTCTCAAAAAAAATTCCATTATTTTAAAATTTTGTTATAAAAGTTTCCAAACGAATTTTAATTTTCTTCGAAACAATTGAATTATTTTCAAAAATTTTATTTAAAATCTTAACAATAATCGAATTATTTTCATAAATTATAAAATTCTTCGGAGAAATTCAATTATTTTTAATACAATGTCAATAAAATTTTCTGATGTATTTCAACTATTTTTAAAAAGTTTAATAAATTTGTTTATTAGAATTTAATTATATTCAACACATTTTTAATAAAATTTCTTGAAAGAATTTAATTATTTTCGAAAGTTTTAATGGAATTCTTCGAAACAAATCAATTATTTTCAAAAATTTTCATAAAATTCGTCGCAATAAATAAATTAAAATACAATTTCTTTTTTTAAAACTAAAGTTGCAAAACATTTTAAATAATATTTTAAAGAATTAGGTTTAATAAATTCGTTTATTAAAATTTAATTATATTCAACAGATTTTTAATCAAATTTCTTGAAAAAATTTTAATAAAATTCGTAACAATAAAAAGATTAAAATAAATTTGTTTTTGAAAATTGAAGTTGTAAAACTTTTTATTTAAAATTCTAAGGAATTATATTTTAAAAATATTTTAGTTATAGTTTTTAAATATTGAATTTTTATTTACAAATAAGTGAATTTTTAAAATTATTTTATTGAAACTTTTGAAAATAATGCAGGGAAATTCGCCACAGTATAATTAATTTTATTTTTAAATCAGGGAAAAGTCAGGAAAAAATAAAATATAATTTTCGTGGCAACCTTGATTGAGGAATTGTTATTAATTATTTTTTTCTTTCTTGTTTTCTTTCTTTTCTTCTTACTTACTTTTTTACTTACTTTCTTACTTATTTAATTCTTTACTTATTTACTTATTTACTTATTTATTTACTTATTTACTTATTTACTTAATTACTTAATTACTTAATTACTTATTTACTTATTTACTTAATTACTTATTTACTTATTTACTTATTTACTTATTTACTTATTTACTTATTTACTTATTTACTTATTTACTTAATGACTTATTTACCTACTTACTTTATTTATTTATTTGTTTGTTCATTTTTCCTAAATGTTCTATTTATTTTAATTAATGATTAATACTTGTGGAATTAAAGAATTGAAGGAATTTAAGATTTTTGAAAACTGTTTGCAGGCGTTCCGAGGGGAAAACGAGGCGAAGTTTGGCACTTTTTGGCGGAGCAATTTTGCCTGAAACAACCGCCAATTGACACACGAGACTTTCCAAATTATAATATGCCATATGAACTTCTTTTGAAACAATTGACATCGCAGCAACATGCAATTTTAATCGATCTTGGACGTACATTTCCAAATCATCCGTACTTCAGTTCACCCCTTGGACCAGGTCAGTTGGGACTTTTTAATTTATTGAAAGCGTATTCGCTGCTCGATCATGAGGTGGGCTATTGTCAGGGTCTAAGTTTCGTCGCGGGAGTACTTCTCCTTCATATGGCCGAGGATCAAGCTTTCTTTCTCCTGCGACATTTAATGTTTCGACGTGGCCTAAGAAAACTCTATCTCCCCGACATGGCCGCATTACAATTACATCTCTATCAATTGTCACGTTTACTTCACGATAGATTGCCGGCAATCTATAATCATTTCGATAAACACGAAGTCTCACCGACACTCTATGCAGCTCCCTGGCTCCTCACATTATTCGCCAGTCAATTTCCCCTCGGCTTTGTCACACGTGTATTCGATCTTCTATTTCTCGAATCTTCCGAAGTAATATTTCGAGTAGCTCTCGCATTACTCGAGGATCATCAAGATCAACTCCTGTGTTGCGATAGTTTCGAAGAAATAATGGAATATCTAAAAGTTAAATTGCCCGCCGTTGATAAGGCCGTATTGGATCGTGTTATGAAACGTGTCTTCTATCCCGACATGGAAATTGGCAAACAACTCAACGAATATCGCGTTGAATATCAAGTGTTACAGGAGGAAATGCTCTCGGTGAAGCCGCAAATTGAAAATATGGAGAAACTCGAAATGATTAATAAACAATTGACCCAACAGAATTTGAATCTCAGCAATCAACTTGAAATAGCAATGAATAATTTTCAACGTATTGAAAATACACGAAGTATTAATCAATCGTCATTTCATAAACTCGAGGCACAAAATCGTAGTTTAGAAGTGACTGTCGCAACATTAGGTGGATTCATTCAACAACTCGCTGATACACGCACCGATATTGATATACCCGGCGATGTGAGACGAATTGTCGCACAATTGGGAGTCGCCGAGAAAAGACGAAGAACATTCCCTCTCAAAGCACTCGAGGATAATAATAATAAATTTGGAATGGTAAAAAGTAATTCGACTGGTAAGGAAACGCAAAAATTCCTCCGGGGAGGTATTGAGACGCCATACCCATTGAAATCGGCATTGAGTCAGCCAAACTTGGGTAGTCGATTGGAGAAGATGTCCTCATTTTTTGCCAACTCACATAGTCAAATTGAGCAGAAGAGAGCGGAAATTGCTGCCCTTCGGAATGAGAGTGGCAGCGATCGTAATAGCTTTAGTAGTAATGATGAAAATGATCCAAAATCAGTGAATATCGATATACAAATAACTGACACTGTTGGTTCAACGACCGATACAATAACAACAACAAATAATAATTTAAAATTAGAATTGGAAAAATCAATTTCATTGCCATTATCGAATGCAAAAATAAAATTGAAACCATCGAAATCAGCTTTTGAATTGGGTTCAGTGAAGAAAGTGCCCACAACAAAATTAGAGGACACTACCGAAGAATCGTATTCAAATTTAACTGGAACAATACATCCACTCGATACATGCAGTGACGTTAATTTTAAATACGGCGGCACGACAAAATTAAAATCAATTAAACCCGTGAGACTACCGGGACAGAATATACAAAATGAAACATTGAACAAAGAAATACAAAATCAAAATCCAGAAATATTGAGTAGATAGCAATTGCTTCTACTCACGATATTAAAACGAAATTTGGCCTGATTTTTTTTCTCTAGTTTCTAATTGTAGTATATTTGGTTTTTGCCTAAACTGTCAATTAACATTGTTTCAATTTTACAAAATTGTCATCGAAAAAATATCAAAAACTCTACCGAGCACGTGTTTCATCGACACAGACTGACAATTATTTTTTTTTTTATTTATTTTGAATTCACAATTTTTTTTTTTTAAAGAATCAACGAAAAAATATTTTGACATTTAAAAATTTTTATTTATTATACTATTATAAATTGAATTGCTAGGAATTAGACTTCGCTTTTTTACTCTTCAAAGAAAAAAACCAATGCAATTTCGATGACGAGATTCTGTAATTCATATCGTTTTAAGTCGCGATAGTCATAAGTCAATTTTTAAAATCGACTCAACTGTTACCATGTCTTACGATTGCCAAATTTTATAAACTAATTACGCTAAACGTAGAGAGTAAAATAGTGGAGATACAATTAAAAGTTAGAAAAAGAGAGAGAGAGAGAAAAGAAGAAGAAATTAAATTCTTGTATACAATTAAGATAGATCAGTTTAATAATCTCTAAATAATCTCTGCTTCAAATCTCTGCTTTAATTTCTAAAGTTAATTATAAAATTTACTAAAAATTGTAAAGAACAAAAATTTAGATATTAATTTACGTTATTTATTTATTATTCTCTAACATTTGTTTATTTTGATTATTGAATGATGTAGAAAGTTTATTTTTCAATAGAAAAAGTTTTAAAGAGGAATTTTTTAATCTTCAAAACTCAAGAAGATAATTTGACGAAAATTCAGTTTCTTTATGTATTATAATTAGTAAAATTTCCAGTTTTTCCAATAATAAAACTGATTTATTTATTATTGTTTATTTTTCTTATTGTAAAATATAACAAAAAAAAAACTTGATAAAGAAATTAATTATTATCGATTCAATAATTGCTAGTAATTATTTTATTGAAACAAAGATTTTTTATTTGAAAAATTTTTTATTTGGAAAAAAGATGTAAATTATCTTTGTGCAGAAAAAGATATAAAAATTATCCTCGATGAAGTGAAAATAACAAGAAAGTAACAAATTCACGTTACGAATTTTTTGTCAATTTTTAATAAAAATTAAATGATGGAAATGTAATATCACTGACTAAAAATTGTATTTTAAATTTAAAAATTCGTTTATGGAAACAGTTCCATATTTAAAATTATACGCTTTTTATTTTAGTTACAAAAATATTTTATTGTGAAATAAAATTTATTAGGATTAATAATTCAAAAATCATTTAGGGTTTAAAAATATATTTTTTTGTTGAATATTAATTATGGTATATATTGTTATATATTATTTAGGTTGAAAATAATTTTTTTATATTAAAAGAATATTAATATATAAAAAGATAATATTAAAACATTAAAAGACACAATTAAAATATTAAAAGGTAATATAAAAGCATAAAGATAATATAAAAATATTTTTAATAAAACTGGGAAAATTATATTAATTTATATAAAAATTTTTGTTCTTTACAATCTTGAAAAAAATTTTCCACAAGGAAGCAAAATGAACTAAAATTGTTGAAAATACGAAATAAATTTTTCTTTCGCAAGCGAATGACTATCTTAATTGTATAAAGTAGCAGAAAAAATACAAAGTACCGAAATATTAAAAAAAAAAAATTCTCTAGAAACTTTTTCTTTCAGATATTATTTAAAGTTAAGAAATTTTAACTTTGCTTCTTTTTTATTAATCGCATCGTTAATAGAGACTGTTGGAAATTTTCAGTTTTTTTGATGCGTATTTTTTTTTTATTTTTTGTTTCGTTTTTAGTCGATGATGCGATGCTATGCATATAATATAAATATATTTTGTAGATTGTAGATTTGTACTTTCTAGCCAGTAGTTATTAAGAATCGATTCTCGCGTCTAGAACGGTCGCCAAATAGAATATTATATATATATTATAAATTAAAAAAAGAAAATAATAATATAATTATATTAATTGAGAAAAAAAAATGCAGCAGAGAATGTATAGTAGATAATTAATCGCAAAGTGTGTATAGTATATTAGTTTAGCAATTGTGATCTCCGCTGTATAAGTCTTCGATCGATGTATACGTGTAATTATATAATAATAATTAAGATGTCTGTAAATTAGTCATTAATTTCGGTTTATTATCAGAATTCAATATGTGACGATTCCAAATGTGCGTCAAGTTTGTAATATTATTTTTGATTTCTTTTTTGCGCTAAATAAAATTTACTTGACTATTTTGGATCACCAAAATTTTAATGTACATTTTACTGATAGAAATGAAGAAGAGATAAAAAACGAAAAGTATAAGGGATTCGTTCGAAAATTTTTGTTCGAAAATTTTTGTTACGTTACATTTTTCGGTACAATTTGACTAAACGGTCAATTTGTTGTAAATTAATTTCAATTGTAATTTCTTTCAATAATTTCTTCAATTTATAAATTTAGATTTTTAATTTTCAAATGATTGATTTTTTTTCTTTTCGATTGTGCCGAAAGAAAAAATTTACGTATAAAAAACAGAAATTCTAAAGAAAATTTACATTTTTGATTTTTTGAAAATTTAGTGAAAATTTAGAAAGATAAGAAGGAATTAATTTTCCTGCGCTAAAAATTGAATAGTGTAGAATATTTATTTGCATCTCTTATATTTTTCGCCTGCGATAAATCATTTTTGTATTATTTTAGTGAGTAGATTTACCTGAAAGAGCCACTTGGGTCAGGTGAAACTGAAAGGAAAGTTGAATTAGTTTTTTCGTTAAAATTATATTTTCCAAATATGTCGACAGTTTTTTTTTAATCTTTAATTTGTATATATAAAGTTGTACTCATCTCTTTTTAGATACGTACATATCAAGAATTATTTGTGATTTTAGCGAAAATTTCGCTCAACATTATCAAGACTTTGAAAACCAAAATTAATATATGGAAATTTCTTTAGATGTTTATTGGTATTATTTAACTATTGTTTTCAATTTTGTTTATTTTTTTAAATGACAAAAAAAAATCGTTTTTCAATTTTCGAAATTGTTTGATTAAAAAAAAAAAAATTAGTAACGAAAAAGAAGATTATTTTATATGTACTTCTTTAAAAAGAGTTTCGAAATTTTTCCCTATTAAACTACACTCGGTGATAATGTATTTTCTTATTATTATTATTATTTTTGTGGTAAAAAAATATTTCTACGATTATTAATTTTAAATTATTTTCTATTCGATTGTGATTTTCAATATTGTAATATTTTTAAAAATTATAATTTACATGTTTTTCTTTTTTTTTTTTGATTGATGTAAATGAATATTGAAGTTTTAGAAAAAAAAGACAGTGTATCGATAATTAAGATGATGGCATTCTTCTAATGGAATGTGAGAGCAAAAATATATCAGAATTATAGAATCTAATGTGATAGTACGAAGTGCTCTTCTAGTAATTTTTCGTGCTTCGATTTTTATGTTAAATGTTATTGCAGGGCAATTGTTACTTTAAAAGAAAAAAAATTACAAGTATCGTGTATAAGTTGTGTATTTATGTGGCCAATTACAATAATAATAAAAATAAAAAAAAGTAATAAAATAATTATTACCGATTATGTGAAAATCGTATACTTCAATAAAAAGTAAAAGAAACGAGAAAAATTTGATTTCTTTGAAAATATTCCAAAAAATTAGAAATTAAGGAAAAAGGTGATAATGAAAAGAAAAGGGAAGAAATTTTTTTTAATATGTATATTTCGTATTCAAAATATAATAATGAACATTACACATGCTAGCGCGTATTATACCAGACAAACGTTGAACTGGTACTCACAATGGTATTGAGTAATAAAAACTATAATAAATCGAACGGCTAGCGTTTGGAAAAGGCAGATATGAGATCGAAAATACAAAAAGCAGTTTCAAATAGCACTGCCGATTTTCTCTTTTCTTTTTTTTTTAGCGAAAAAATTAAAAACCGAATTGCTTTTTTTTTTTAAAGTCTCGCAAAGAATTTAACTCTTCTAAAAAAGTGTCGTTGTGTGATCTTCCAATTCTACGGAAATATAGACCAAATTCTTTTTTCTTTTTTTAGGAAAACTTGAACCTTAATTACTGCGCGTTTCTTTTTAGTTTTAAACAGTGGATTACAAAAGTTTAATGTTTCACACTGTCCACGGTTTTTCATTCTCTAACTTTGCCCTCGTCATTTATTTTATTCATTTTATTCATTTTATTATACACATAGAGAGATAGAGAGTGAGTGAGAGAGAGAGGATACGCGAAATATCGAATAAAAACTTTTTTTTTTCCTTCCCCCTTCAAAATACGATGCAACGTGAGAGAACGAGTTTTACATGATATGAAAAATGATAGCGCATCGACTTTATTACTTTGCTCTTTGCAAACATATCTGCAATTCTGCAAAAAAAGGACAACAAAAAAAAATTTCCAACGCCGCGTCACACGATTAAGAAACTTTTTTTTTCTTTTTTTGAAATGATATTTTTATCAAAAATTTTTTAAATTGAATCTGTTGGTTAATGAGACGTTAGCATTTTTTTTTTCGTGTTTCTCACGTCTTTTATGCATGTATTGTATATAATTATATAATACATAGCCCTTTAATTACATAGTTAGATCGAAATTAGGCAGGCAAGCAGAAGCCCACACGCATATTTATTTATTTTATTTATTTATTTTTTTTTTTTGTATTTTTTTTTCATCTTTTTAAGCCCCGAAAACCCTTACAATAAATATGAAGTCAATATTCATAATTATTTGATACTTTACAGTGGCAAGAAAAAACAACACTCAAACTGCTTTATATTTTTATAATATTTATATAATAATCATGTATTCATCACAGTGAGAAACGAAAAATATATGCATATATATATTTACTATGTATAATATATATATACACATCTTGTACAGATTATAACTATAAATCGCTAAATAGATATCCATTCAGTGGCACTTTGCTCAAAAATATAATTTCCCTCTTTTTATTTCTTTAATACCAAAAATAAGAACTGAATAAAAAAAAAATTATTTTGATTATTAATTATTTCTCGGAATAAAATTTCAAGAGGAAATTATTTTTTAAGCCACACACATATTTTTTTCTCTCTTTTTTAAATAAATGATTCTATTTGTTCCACGCAATTTCCTTGTTTTTGTTTCAACACCTTTATTTTCGTTCATTTGATCAGGTATTCGAAAGATTGTAAATTCACAATTTTTCGTAATACAGGATTTTAGAAGTATTTGAGATTTTTCTCTCTGATTCAAATACAATTTGTTTTTTTCAGGGTGCTTTATTTTTTTTTTTTTGGAGTCACAAAAGCGTTTTACGCTTGCTCCAAAATGGTTTTAAAACTCTTAAAGATTACATCTACACTTAGCAATAACTTCGTTGCCACTGATACCCGCGTTGTGTTTTAGCTGCACACAAACATTCGAAACATTCATACGTTACATACAAAAAAAACCATTCTCACAATTGAGAAGCGATTTTTTTTCCCAAACTTTCGTTTTTTTTTCTTCCCATTTTTCATGCGAAAATTCTCAACGGGGATTTCGCGCATAAATCAAATCCTTACATATCATTAAATACTATTAGGAGAGATTGAAAATTGACGACTGCTCACTGAAAACAAAAATGACGTAACTAAGAAGCGGAAACGTATTTATAATTATTCCTTTGAAAAATTAAACGAAAATTGTGATTATTATTAATTATTAAATTATTAATACAAATTGTGAATAAACTTTAATTAACATTCCATTTCTTTACACTTAACTTTAATTTAATACAATTTTATTTTCTAGCTAATTAATTATTAATAATTATTTGATTTTTTGTGAAAGAAAAAATATGTTTTTGAATACAATTTTATTGTGAAAGTTCAGTCCGGTCACAAAATCAGTGGGATTTTTTTTTAAAGATTTTACTTTTGCTCGCATATTACATTTTAATTTTAAATATTTAAAATCAAATAAAATATTTACAGAAATAAAATATTTCAAGGAATTAAATATTGATTAATTAAACTATTTATAATAAAATATTCCTAAAATAGTTATTAAATAAAATATTTTCAAAATATAATATTTAGTAAATAGAATACTTTTAAAATAAAATATTTAGTAACTAGAATATTTTTAAACTAAAATATTTAGTGAATAGAATATTTTTTAAATAAAATATTTTTTAAATAAAAATATTTACGAAATACAATATTTATAAAATAAAATACTGATAAAATAAAATACTCACGAAATAAAATATTCAGAAAATAAAAAAAGATGTATAAAATAAAATACTTACGAAATAAAATATTCAGAAAATAAAAAAAGATGTATAAAATAAAATAATTATTAAATGGAGTAAAGAACTTTTTTTCCAAACACTGAATTTTGTGACTGTAAGCGATAAACAACAAAAATGAACGAATTCTCCCAAATTAAAAAGAAAGAATTTAACCATTTTTTTTCCAAACGTACTGATTTTGTACATTAAATGAAAAGTTTCTCTTCGAGAAAGAAGACTAAGTGTCTTGGAAGATTTAACATTAATAACTTACAATAAATATCGATATATACGTTTTTTTAAATATATAATAGTAAATAACAAGAAAGTATTTTTTTTTTAAAAGAAAGAAAAAAACAGAAGAAAGTTGCTTTTTCCTTCCTACCCTGATTTATCATCAACCTCGTAGTTACGCCACTTGTAATAACACATTAAGATACGCTTACAACGAACAAGAGTAAAAATTGTTGATAGGATCTCGAGGCTTGATTCACATATTATTTTGCGAATCTTTGGGAATATATTAATTAAAAAACTAGAAGTACCTTTCTTTATGTTTTAACGAACAAAAAAAAGCAAAAAAGGATAGAAAAAAAAATTGTTCTGCAAGAAAAATTGAACAATAACAGAACATTTTTTTCTTGAATAGAACAAAATATGTTAAAACTGTTCGAATGTTAAAATCAAAAAAAAAAAAAAAAGAAAAAAAAGCGAAATTTATTTATTTTTTTTAGTAAATTAAAAATTAATATTTCAATTTTTTTTGCCGTTTTAAATTGAGAAAAATCGTTTTTCCTTTGCATTCTCGTCGAGCAATTTTCTTGAATGAAATCTTTCATTCTTTTATATAAGTTCCGCGTGGAATTTGGAGAATTCTCTCTCAAGACCAGTTTTTTTGGTCCATTCTATATGATTTCTATAAATGTTATAAAGTTGGCAGCGAAAGAGCTTTCAGAATTCAAATAATTCAAGAAAGGTCTCTTGAATAAATAAATTCCTTTCGCACTCGTAGACCTATCATCACGATTAAATTCTAATTAGCAGCCAAAAAACGATATTGGACTTTTTTTCCAGTTATTTTTTCATCTTCACTTATTTTTTTCTTTTTAATTTTTTTTTTTCTTATAAACAGTCTTATTTTTATAGTACAATATTAAAATTGTTATTTACAGATGTGTGCAACTAGCTATATAAAGAACAATAAAAATCATTCCTCCTCGTCTCTTTTTTTTTTTTTGTCGATCAGTAAACTTATTAGTTTTTCTCTTCCTTTTTTCCTTGGGTTTTTTTTTCGTTTTTTGTCATTCAACAGAGTTTTTTTTGCGAAATCTTAATTACTTATACCCTGATCGTATTTACAGCGTCGAGATTAAATAAAAACACTCATATTTTAAATATTTATAATGTATTTATATATATTTATAATATTTATTTATATTTTTATATATATAAATATCTTTAGAAGTGGTCGCATTCAAAGACCATTGTCTCGCGTTTTCTCTTAGTTTTCTTTTTTTTTAATTCCTTTTTTGGGAATAATAAATAAATAATTGTCCAATAGTTAAAAATTTCCAAAATTAAAAAACTTCTGTTGATATATTTTTTTTTTGATACTTTTTTCTAGTAAAAGTATTTTTGTTTCGAATATACTAATTTTTTTTTTTTGTAATTTTGAAAAATGAAACGATTTGACAACGGTCAAGGAACGTTAGTTTTATAATTACCGGTTCGTTAATAAAGTGACGACACAATTTTTTTTGTCTCTTGTCGTCTAGAAAACTGTACAACTTTTTGAACTTATGATCAAGTTTTTCTTTCACTTTTTTTTTAAAATGTTTTTCTTCTCTATTTTCAATTTCCTTTTTTTTCTGGAATCAGTCGATGTCAGGATGATATACTTATAGAGATTATTATTATTATTTTTTTTTTATAAATACTGTCGATCTGCCAACTTGATAGTAATAAAAGTTTTACTACCCTTTAATAAATTTGTGAGTAAAGAACTTTGGAAATGGTTGGCACACATCATCTTGATAAGAGTCGACTCATCACGGCGGCTCCAATAAGCAATGCGAATGAAACCCTTGATGACGAGGAGGCTGAGCTTGAAGCAGCTTTTGTCAAATCCTCACAGACACCTGAAAAATAGAAGATAAGTCGGGGGGAAATTAAATTAAATTTTTTTAAAAAATAGCGAAAAATAGAAAAAAATATTTATTTTTATTTGAAAAATTATTAACTCTGGTAATTATTATTGGCAATCATTAAAATTGTAGAAAATACAAAATATGCAAAAATAGTACAAATAATTACAATTATAATAATAATAATAAAATTTGTAAAGAAAATTGAAATTTGTAAAATAAAATTCTAAATTCTAAAAAAGTAAATAATAAAATAATATAAGTTGACACAATTTTGCCAGTGGAAAGAACAAGAAAAAAGAATAAATAATAAAATAAAAAATATGGAATGACAAATGAAAAGTAGAATGAGTAATAAAATAAAGAAAGTATAAAGTAAAAATAAAGAAAGTGAAATAAAATAAAAAAGCAAAACAAAATAATAAAAAGTAAAAAAAACAGAAAATACAAAGAATTTTTAAGAACTCTTTATATTCTCAAGAAATCATAAAACACGAGATAAAAAATAATAAGAAACGAAAAATAAATAGAGAGAGAGAAAAGTTCATAAAATGTAAAAAATAAAATTACTGGAAAATTTTTTTGAGAAATTGTTTGGAAAAACTATTTTTAAGAGAAAGATAAGAGTTTATAGAAAAAAAGAAAATTATTTTTTCTAAATAAAAGTTTTCCCTATGAAACATTTTTGTTTCGTATATTTAAAAATAAGAAAAAAAATGAAAAATAAGAGAAATAATTATGTTTTGTTTTTTTTTTCTTTACCTTGACTCATTAATCGATAGGTCCATTGATCATCCATATTTCTTTGGCAAAAATCTGACGGTTTTGATAGCATTAATTCCTGTTCTGATGAATCTATTCGACTATTTCTTCCACCTAATTTGTCAGAGGGCTCGCTGAATCGCATGGAGAAACATTGCGTTTGTCTTTCTGAGCTTGACTTATTTCGAGACACTATCGTAAACCAAGTTCCATTTTCCTCCCAACTACCTTGGCAAGAATACGATGTAGCTAAAAAAGTAATGAGTTTTAATTTAATAAATGGGTACAACTTATTTTTTCTCCTTCTTCTCCTCCATTACTTTTATTTTCTTTTTTCCCTTTAAAAAAAATTCCCGGTCCTTTTCATTTTACTTTTTTAGAAAGCAATTTTTTTATTAACTTTAAATTTTAAATTGGGAAATTCTTTCTACATTTTTTTCAGAAAAAATTAGAATTTCTTTTTTTTTAATTTTATTTAGTTTAATCTTTAATTAAATTTGCTTTCAAATTAAAGAAATAAACAAAATTAAATTTGTTTCTAAATTAAAGAAATAAATTTGTTTTTTAATTTTTTTATTCAATTTAATCTCTAATTAAATTTGCTTTCAAATTAAAGAAATAAAAAAAAATTTTTTGAATTAAAGAAATTTTGTTTTTAAATTGAAAAAATAAATTTGTAGAAAAAAAAATTGTTTTTTGGGCAGAAATTTGGAAAAAATACCTATTTCTCTGTTCTTGCAAGATTGTGCCATGATGACTTCATTCTGGTCCATGGAGCTGCAACCAATATGAACGTCAGTACTTCTGCATTGTTCATCTTCATCATCTTGTCGAATTTTACTGGTCGTCGATTCTGCTGATTTTGCTCGTCTCTTATTTCGCCTTCGCATACTCGATAATGCTTGAGATGGTAATGAATTTAATATTGAATATCGACCAGGCTGAGGACATTTTCCTTTATGAAACGATGACGCTGTAAAAAAAATTATTTCAAACCATCAGTATTTTCAACAAATTAATAACAGTTTTAATGAGCAAGAAAAATTTTTCCCCGTTACAAAGAGAGAAACAATTTTTTTCGAATTATATTTTCACGTTAATTTTCAAAGTAAATTTTTAAAAATTAATTTTCATAATTGAATTTAAAATATTAATTTCTAGAAATATATTTTTATAATAATTTCCATTATTAATTTTTTTATTTCTAATAAAAGGAAAATAATATTTTTCCAATATTTGAAAAAATTGGAGAAATTTTTTGTAATTTTAGTAAAAGATTTTTCTGGAACGAAAAATGAATGAATTTTTCTCAAAAAAAAAAAAAAAAAAAAAAAAATTGTAAAGTTCTATTTTTGGTAAGAATTTTTCATTAAGTAATGGAATGAATTTGGATTAATATTGCACTTACTTATCAAGGTTGTATATGGCTTTCGAGAAGGATCCCAAAGTTTACAAGCTTCATCTGGTGTGGTTGCCTTTTGCTCTGTTGGGAAAAATCAAGAATTCAATTTCAATTCAATAAAATGCAAATTGTATCGGCTTAAATAAATTTCTGAATTCACTCGTAAAAATTACTCACCGGATTGCTGTATTTCTATTATATGCTGGTCTCGCTGATGAAAGATCATGCAAACGTATCCAATATCACTGCGCATCGAGAAAAAAAAAGAGAACGAAAATTAATTTTAAATACAGAATTTTGTATAAGAAAAAGTACATAAAATTACTCGATAAAATTTCTTTCTACGAAAAAACGAATTATTCGAAATAAATAAATTCTCTATTTTTACTAGACTTTCGAAATTTAATTATTCTAAATAAATAAATAAATAAATAAATTCTCACTTCCAATTACTATATTTTGGAAGTAATTGAATATTTTTCTAAATATATTTTTTCATTTTCAAGAAGAATGGAAAAAAAATATTTAACAAAAAATTTTCTTTTAAATTTGATTAAAAAAGATTTTTGGTAATTTAAATTTGGAAAAATAAGAAAAATAATTCAATGTGAAACATAAATAACTTTACTTATTTTACTGTAATTCTTTTAGGTAATAAAAAAATAATTACCAGCCACTAGTTACGTGAGCGACCAATTTCACCGATGGTTTTGAATTTGCCGTTTCCTCCAGCTCCAAATTGTGACAAACAATTTTCTCCTCGTGCTGTATCGTGACATTTTCATCCTTGTTGGTAACTTTTAAAGTTGAATTACCAGCGAGAAAATGATAATTCTTCGCTCCGTTCAAAGTATGCCAGACGTGATGTTTAAGAACCCAAGATGGATATTTACATCGTCGACGTTCCTTGTCTTCTATAAAATGAAAATTAAAAATAATTTCACAAAATTAAATTAAAATTGAAAATAATTCTAAGAAAATGTAACAAAAAAATGCAACTAAAATTAATAATTTTTTTATTCATTTCCTTTACATGGAAGAAACAAAAATAATATTAAAAATTAATATTCTAATATATAATTAAATATTATATTAAAATTTTTTCTATTTTTTACTTGAAAAGTAATTTTAATAATTTAATTTTTTATTTCAATAAATAAATTTAATAAATTGCTAACATTTAATTTAAATAAATTTTTATTTCAAAATAAAAAAAATTTGATAAAAAAAAAACAGTGCACATATAATAAAAAAAATAAAAGTGTATTTAAAAATCAATTTCGCGTTTTTCGTGCGCTATTGTATAATTTCCATATTTAGAAAAAAAAAGAAAAAAGAAAAAAAAAAGATTTATTGAATTTTTACGTGCTCTCTTTGAATTGTGTTGAGGCATTGATATTCTCATATTTGCATATGACATTCTTCCACGATCATTAAGAGTCAGTTTTGAAGTATGGAAAGTATACATAATTCAAAAGCATAAAACCTCCGATGCCTACCCTTTGTGAGTTTTATGTTTAGCGACCCCTCGGAAACAGTAGTGAGGGCATTGCACGTTGCATCCCCAGACTGGGCCAGTTGATATTCAACCTTCCCTTGACGGTGAGTTCTCTCATACAAGAAACATCTGGAAAAAAAATCAAAATTAAACCCATCAATATGGAAATTATTTTTATTCATTTTTTTTTCATTAAAAAAATTTTTTTTTCCGGAGATGGAAAATATAATATTGTATTCAGTTTTTTATTGGGCACAAAAAATTGTCTAAAGTTGATTTTAGTAAATAAAAAAAATAGAAAATTGAACAATAAAATATAGAAAATCTATTTTTTTAACAAATTTTTTTTTAAAGAAAATAATATTTAGAAAATTAAATATTTAAAATAATTTATTTTTTCAATATTATTACTTTTTCTGAAATTCATCGCATAAAAATCAATGTCTTTAATTTATTTAAAAATATTTCATAATATTTCAATATTCCCTGAATAGTTTAGTAAATTTGTTTTTATTTAAAAATTTTTTTTTATTATTTAAAATTTTTTCATTACTTTTAGGCCAAAAATTTAATTCAATTCGATTTATTTTTATTTACTAGATTAAAGTAGAAAAAATCTATTCTCTCCGATTATAAAGAAATAAACAAGATTTATTTATTTAGCAAACAAAATAAGTAAATAAATAAAAAATTCGAAAAAATAATTTGGAAAATAGAAAAAAATGCATTCTATCAGATTACAAAATAAATAAAATCAGAAATTTTTTTAAAATAAATTTGATTGGAATTTAAAAAAAAAATTTTTTAATTAAAGAAAAAATACGATTTTATACAAATTTCTTGACAAAATTATTGTTAAAAATTTAATTCAATTCAATTTTTCTTTATTTATAATTAAAATAGAAAAATTTTTATTCTGTCGAATTCTATAGAAATAAAAAAAATCTATTTAATCATTTAAAGCAAAAAGAAAACGAGTTTTCAAAAATAAAATAATTAAAAAGTGCAAAAAACTGATTTGAAAAATTAAAAAAAAAATTATCTTGCAAAATTTTTTGCCAAAAGTTTTTACTACAATTTTAACTATTTAATTTAATTTATTATTAAAGTAGAAAAAAATGATTCTAAGAGAATATTTTCTATATAAATAAATAAAATCCATAAAAATAATTTAAAAATTTAAATAAAAGTTGTTTTATCCAAATTTTTTGACAAAAATTTAATTATAAATTCAATTTTTTTATTTATTTTTAAAAAATAAAAAATTTTATTCCATCGAATTCGAAAGAAATAAACAAAAATTATTTATTTTTGCAAAGCATAAAATAGAATAAATAAAAAATGTAAATACTAATAAATAATTTAAAAAATGAACAAAAATTATTCTATTAAAATTTTCGTCAAAAATATTTGCAAAAAATTTATTTAATTCAATTTAATTTATTATTAAAATAGAAAAGAATTATTCCAAAAGAAAATTTTCTATAGAAGTAAACAAAATGCCAAAAAATAATTTAGAAAAAAATTGTTCCAACAGAAAATTTTCTAAAATAAACAAAATGCTAAAAAATAATTTAGAAAAAAAAATTATTTCTTCAAAATTTCAAGAGGATTGATGAACATTGAATTTTATTCAATTTAGTTTCATTTAGTATTAAAATAAAAAAAATATTTATTCCATCGGATTTTATATAGAAATAAACGAAATACAAAAAAATAAAAAAAAATTATTTTATCAGAAAATATTCTTTGAAAATAAACAAAATACAAAAAAAAAAAAATTAATAAAAACATTTAAAAAATTGCAAAAAAATATCTTTTTTTTGATAAATAGGCATTGAAAAAAAATTGTCGAATTGATGATGATGGAAAATGGACTAATAAAATTAAATCTACCTGCAATGTGTGACATTACACGAAAATGGAATACCTTGCTCTTTTATACGCAATCGTAGATTTTACTGCTTAATAAAAAAAAATACTACTTTCAAGTAGACACCAAAAAAAAAAGAAGGTGAATTGCTTTCATAAATTTCTTGTCCTATTTACATTTACACATTTATGTGTCACTTTCTGAAGAATAAAGTTTCCACGACACTTTCCCACTGAATCTTTTATGTTTTCATAGAAGAAAATTCCATTCCTATAGATACACATTTTAAGAAAAAAGATATACATATTTTCTTTCCCTAAAATTATTGTCAACTTTGGATAATTTTTTTTAATGAATTTGTCTCTCCACACGGACTTGTTGGAATCTGGGGGCAAAAAAATATATATACAAAAAAAAGTTAACATGTGTCTCAAAGGGAGTGAAATTCGATTTAAATTTAAATCCAACTTTTTAAATATGGAACAATTTTTGCCTTTGTATTGTTAAAATTTCCATAGAATTTTCTGCGAGATGAAATTGAAGTTATAAAAATAGTATATATCAATCTATTTTTTGTTTTTTTTGGCACAATATGAAATTTTTTTTTGTTTTTTCCTCTAAAAGAATATCAAGTTATAGAAAAAAAATATCTACAATAAAAAAAGATTTTTTCTCTCTTGCAAATAAATAACAAAAAAAAAAAAAAAAAATTCGATTATTATATCAATTTTCATATGTGAAAAAACCGTATTTTATTTCACTTTAAAGAAGAAATACGAGAAAAGTGTTTGTTTTTTTATTATTTAAAAATTGACATTATACTTCAATCAAACGTCAACAAAATTTTATCCTGTCAAAAAAAGAATGAAAAAATAAACACATATTTTCACTAACAAAAATTTATTATTTCTGTTCCGAGGAAATTTTTTCGATACAGTCAGCAATTTAATTTTGAAGGTGATTTTAATAAATTGAATTTGTATAATTTAATTCTAATTTTTTGTCTAAAAAAAATTAAAACTTTTCTAATTCTAATTTTTTTTACAAAAAAAAATTAAATTTCTTCTAATTTTAATTTTCTAGCTTTATATTTTTTTTCTATAAAGTCTGCAATTTTACTTTAATTTTGAAGGTAATTGTAATAAATTTAATTTTTATAATTTTCTAGTTTTCATTTTTTGGGAGAAAAATTAAAATTAAAATTAGAAAATTATGAAAATATTTCTTTGGTAAAAGTTTTTCGTTAGAAAAAAAATTGAAACTAGAAAATAAAAATTAGAAATAATTATGAAAAGCGAATAATTAGAAAATTGTGTATTCAAATAAATAAATAAATAAAGAATTAAAATTGAACAATAAAAAATAAATTTTAGCAATAAATAAATAAATTTAATTTAAATAAAATTTTTGCAGTAAATTTTGGTGAGCATTATTTTTTGGATTGATTGAAGTTTTCCCATCTTCTAATGAACATCCCCACATGGTACTTAGTAAATATAATATTTTTCAAAATAAACTTTAAGAAGTCAAAAGTTGGCGCAAAAGTCGGGGAAATCTTGAGACGAATTTTTCTTCTGACAAAAAACTTTTTGCGGGACTTTCGATTTCCGTGAAATGTTTTCATTTATCCAGAGAAACTCTCACTCTCTTTTAAACTCAAAGTTAAGTAGTTTGGGTCTAACTTAATGAATTGATTTATTCGTCAATTAGGTTCTATAGTGGAAGCAATTCGACAAATTGGACTCTCTTCCAATTAGTTTCATTGCTCGTAACTCTCTCTCTCTCGCTCTCTCGCTCTCTAAGGCGACATTCCTTGTATCAATACCTTTTAATTACGAGAAATTCACCTTATATATTTTTTTTAATTATAAATTTTTCATTTATAGTTTGGAAAATGGAAAATTGAAGTAATTTTTTAATTTTACTCGTTGCTTTATACTTTGGAAAGCGAGTGAAGATTGAAAATTATAATTTTTTTGAATTTAATGGTAATTTATAGTTTGGATAGTAAATAAAATTATAATTTGTAATTTCAATCGAGATTTATAGTTTGGGACGCAAAAAAAATTATAGTTTTTTAATTTTAATCGTCTATACATAAGTGAATAAAAATAGAAAATAAAAGAACAGAGAAATAAATAAAAATACAAAATAATTAAAAATACAGAATAAAAAAATACAGAAATTAATAAAAATACAAAATAATTAAAAATACAGAATAAAAAAATACAGAAATTAATAAAAATACAAAATAATTAAAAATACAGAATAAAAAAAAGAAATTAATAAAAATACAAAATAATTAAAAACTAGCAAAAATTCGCGTGCGGATCACTTCTCACTCACTTTTTTAAATAAAATTAACAATTTTAAAAATAAAACGTAAAAATATTTTATAAAAATAAAATATGAATGGTTACAAATGATTGCAGAAATTCAATTATTTTCAAAAGTAATAAAATTCTTACCACAAAATTCAATTATGTTCAAAATTTACAAAAAACAATTTTTATAAAATTGTACAGAAACATTTAATTATTTTCATAAATAATAAAACTCATTGTAGAATTTCAATTATTTTTAATCAAATTTTAATCAAATTCCTTGAATTTTTTATAAAAAATGTAACTATTCAAAAAATTTTTATTAAAATTCGTCAAAAGAATTTAATTATTTAAAAATTTGTTAATAAAATTCTTTATAAAAATTAAATTTCAAGAAATATTCAATTATTCAATAAATAATTTACTTTTGTATTTAAATAATTGAATTCTCGTAGAATTTTCTTAATAAAAATTGATTTCAAAATGAATTTTAGTTTAAATGTTCAAAATTTACAAAAAAATCTCGACCAAATCCCAATTATTATCTTTATAAATAAAAAATTCTTCAAAATTCAATTATTTTCGAAAATTTTAATAAAATTCTTGTCAAAATTTCAATTATTTTCAAAAATTTTTCCTCATTTCAATGATTTTCAGTATCTACTGTATTTTAATAAAATTACTCAAAAGAATTCAATTATTAAAAAACAATTTTAATAAAATTGTACGCAAACATTTAATTATTTTCATGAATAATAAAAATTTCACAGAAATTCAATTATTAAAATTCGTTTAAAGAATTCAATTATTTAAAAATTTGGTAATAAAATTCTTTATAAGAATAAAATTTTGAGAAACATTCAATTATTATTCAATAAATAATTTACTTTTTTATTTAAATAATTGAATTCTCGTAGAATTTTCTAATAAAAATTGATTTGAAAATGAATTTTAGTTTAAATTTTAGATAATAAGAATATGAAAATAATTTTTAAGAAGGTACAGTAAGAATATTTTTATAATATAAAATAATGATTTAAATAATCGACTCGTGAATACAGAAATAAATAAAAATTGAAAATAAAAGAACACAGAAATAAATAAGAATACAAAATAAAAAAATGCAAAACAGTAAATATACAAAAAAAAAATTAAAAATACATAAATAAATAAAAATACGCACAAGTTAAAAATAAAAAATAAATAAAAATTTAAAATAAGTAAAATCACTGAAAATTGGAAATACAAAAAAAAAAAATAAAAATTCAAAATGGAAAAAAACAGAAAATGTGAAATAAATAAATAAATATAGAATAAATGATAAAAATAAATTAAAAAAAAGAAAAATAATACAGAAAAGAGAAAGTTGAGAGCAGACAATTACCTGTATACTTCTTCGTTCACCACAGTAGTTCTGCTGCTAGACTTCAAAGTTCCAACCAAGTACAAGTTACGTGACCCGTCTTTCCAAACGGCCAGGCACTTCAGTTCCTCGGCTGTAAAAGATGAATGATACAGATAAGATGCAATGTATAAACTTTAATCTTCAGTTCAATTTAACTTACACCTAAGAAAAGATGTTGAACTTTCGCGAAAGTGCAGTAGACTAATACAAGAATATATTGCTTACTTAAACACGAAACTACTGTGATCCAGGAAATTGTGTTGAAGAAAACTTGGAATGTTGACAATTCCATTAATTTCATTTTTCTTTCGCAAAAATCGATTAAAAATAATTATTATGAAAAAAAAAATTAATGAAACAGAATTTTAAAAAATGAATAAAAAAAAAATTTGATAATTTTGTTAATTAAATAAATTAAATATATCGATGTTTTGTTAAGAAATCTTGGTTTTTGGAGACACATTTTTTAAAAAATTTTATTTAGAATTTTAGATTATTTAAAAAAAAAATGCTTTTGTTCTTTTTATAAATTTTCTTTGGATTATTTAAAAAATATGCTTTTGTTCTTTTTATAAATTTTCTTTTGGATTATTTAAAAAAAAAATGCTTTTATTCTTTTTAAAAATACTTTTGATTTTTCACCCCTTTGCGATGAAATACATTCGTTTATGTTATGAAAAGAATTCTTGACAAAAAAAGGCAAGAGAAGAAAAATAAATTGGGAAAGAAAACAAAAAGCAAAAAATTCTAAACTTATTTGTTTGGAATATTCTTCATCGAATTTTTTTTCACGTCTGACTTGTAAAAGTCTTTTACTACTTAAAAAGGCTTTTTCTTTGTCTTGAAGTATTTTATACTTAGAAATTTAGTTCGCCTGACTTGAGAGATTTTTTCTACTTAAAAGAGCTTTTTGTTTACCTCGAAACAATTTTTAACTTTAAAAAAACTAATTCGTCTGACTTAAAAATATTGTACTACTGAAAAAAAAATTTTTTTTTCACTTCGAAGTATTTTTTATAAAATTTCGGTTTGTCTGAAACTGAAGAATTTTTCTACTTACAATTAGAAATTCTGTTTATATACTTTTAAGGGATTTTTAAAAAAAATATTTATTGTCTTATCCGGTCTGACTTAAAAGTCTTTTTCTACTTAAAAATTCTATTCGATTAACTAGTAGTGTTTTGAAGTACCATATAAATTTTGTCTGACTAAAAAATATTTTTTCTACTTGAAAATAATATTTGTTGGCTGAAATCTTAATTTGAACAAAAAATGAAGTAGGTCTGACTTAAAAATCTTGTTCTACTTAAAATCAAAATTTATTTGTCAGTAAATTATTTTTCACAACACTTTTCATATGTACGGCATAAAAATATTGTTACTACTTAAAAATACTTTTGGCTTTTTTTAATAAAACTTGCTTTGTCTGACTTAAAAATCTTGTTCTACTTAAACTTTTAATTTTTTTTTATTAAATTAATTTATTACAATAATTTTTGTATGTCTGACCTAAAAATATTGTTTCTACTTAAAAATACTTTTTGCCTTTTTTAAAGTCTTTTTTTAATGCAAAACTGACTTTGTCTGTCCTAAAAATCTGTTTCTACTTAAAATTCTCATTTATTTGACAGTAAATAATTTTTATACTACAATTTGCGTATGTCTGACTTAAAAATATTTTTTCTACTTAAAAATAATATTTGTTGACTGAAATCTTAATTTGTACAAGAAAATGTACAAGAAATGTTTGACTTAAAATATTGTTTCTACTTAAAAATATGTACTTAAAAGTCTTTTTTTAATAAAACTTACTTTGTCTGGCTTAAAAATCTTTTTCTACTTAAAATTTTAATTTATTTGATTGTAAATAATTTTTTCACTAGCATTTGAGTATGTCTGACTTAAAAATATTGTTTCTACTTAAAAATACTTTTTGCTTATTTGAAAGTCTTTTTTTAATATAGAAAACAGGCTTTGTCTGGCTTAAAAATTTTTTTCTACTTGAAATTCTCATTTATTTGATTGTAAATTATTTTTTTTACTACAGTTTGCGTATGTCTGACTTAAAAGTATATTTTCTAATTAAAATAATTTTTGTTGACTGAAATCTTAATTTGAACAAAAAATTTAGAAGGTCCGACTTAAAAATCTTGTTCTACTTAAAATCAAAATTTATTTGTCATTAAATTATTTTTTTCAACACTTTTCATATGTCTGACCTAAAAATACTGTTTCTACTTAAAAATACTTTAAAGTCTTTTTTTAAAAGTAAAACTGACTTTGTCTGACTTAAAAATCTTTTTCTACTTGAAATTTTTATTTATTTGATTGTAAATTATTTTTTTACTACCATTTGCGTATGTCTGACTTAAAAATATTTGTTCTACTTAAAAATATTTTTTGTTGACTGTAAATTCTAATTTATAGAAAAAAATATAGTCCGTCTGTCTCAAAAATCTTGTTCTACTTAAAATTCTAATTTATTTGTCACTAAATTATTTTTTTTACAACATTTTCCGTATGTCTGACCTAAAAATATTGATTCTACTTAAAAATTTTTTTTTTTGCCTCTCTAAAAGTTCTTTAATATAAAAATTTTAGTTTCGTCTGACTTTAAAAATTATAAATTATTAAATAAGAATTATTTTTAATATTATTAAAATTTCATAATAAATTATAATTAATTTTAAAAATACTCTAATATTAAAGAAGAAATTAAAAATGAAACATATTTACAGTTTTTCTGCAGACATCATAAGTTGAGACAAAAAAATGAATCAAAAGTGTTGCGAAGCAACCAACGTTTTAATTTGTTTTTTGTCTAAATTTAATATCTTTATAAACTGTGTTTGGAAATTGTCATAAAATACAAAATAGTTTAAATTTAAAAAAAGTGAAATTCACAAAAATATCATAAAATTTGCTTTCACAATCTAAAAAAAGAAATTTGATACATAAATTGTATATTTTAACGCCCGCAGTGTGCATGTTCTAAGGTTTAAAATAATTGCCGTCTTCCACTTTGAATTGTTTCGTTTTGAATTTCGAGGAAGCAAATTATAATTGACAAGATATTCTCAGGGGCTTCCTCGTGTAGAGACAGCGGCTTAATAAAACAGAACCTCACTCTCGCACAAAAGAGAAGTCTTGCATAGATCGAAACCACTAAAAGGATTATTAACGTAATTCAATTAGCGTGCTTTTTCGCCTCGTTAACTACATCAGGATTTTTTTTTTCTTTTCTTTTCTTTTTTTTATTTTTAGTCTTAGACAGTGTGCCCCTTTTCACGCCAGTCTAGGGCTCTTTGCATTAGCCATTTGACCCACTCAGAAATGTCAAGCGCCTTAATCCACAGTTCTAAGAGGTCTTCCGCTCAATTTTCTTCTCTTTTTTTCTCTTTCTTTCTTTTTTTTTTCCTACCCTCAATGTTTCGTAATGAGAGAATTCTAATTTTCCAACGAGTCCCTCTTTATGTAATTTACCCATGAAATGTGCGTGAACTTTTTTTTCTAATGCTTTTTAAAGTCTTATTTTAATTAAATTTTTTTTTTTCAAATGTATTTAATTTATTTAAAGTGTATTTAATTTTATAAATATGTATTTAGTTTTTCTTTAAGTGAAACTATTTAAATTTATTTAATTTTGAATTTTCTTTTATTCTAATTTTAATTTTAATTAGTTTATTTAATTTTAATTTAATTTTATTTAATTTTAATCTTGTTCTACTTAAAATTTTAATTTTTTTTTATTAAATTATTTTATTACGACAATTTTTGTATGTCTGACCTAAAAATATTGTTTGCACTTAAAAATACTTTTTGCTTTTTTAAAAGTCTTTTTTTAATATAGAAAACTGACTTTGTCTGACTTAAAAATCTGTTTCTACTTGAAATTCTCATTTATTTGATTGTAAATTTTTTTTTTACTACTATTTTCGTATGTCTGACCTAAAAATATTGTTTCTACTTAAAAATACTTTTTATTTATTAAAATTTTTTTTTAGAAAGAAAATTGACTTTGTCTGACTTAAAAATCTTCTTCTACTTAAAATTGTACTAAAAACTTTAGTTCGTCTGACTTAAAAATTTTACTCTACTTAAAAATCTGATTTATTTGTCAGTAAATTATTTCTTTATGAATTATATTTTAAAACTTTTCTCCAAATATGAATTTAATTTTTATTATTTTCTTTTGCTTTTCTATAAATTTTGCAGTGTTACTTAATTTTGATGGAAATTTTAATAAATTTTTATTCAATAATTGAGAGAGAAATTTTTTTTATAAGAAAAAGCAAAACCAGAAAATTGAAATTAGAAAATTAAAATCGAATATTGAAAATTAAATTTTGATAATGCAATGATGTGAGATTTTTGTATTGGATTCAAATTTTTAAATTAAGTTTAAAAAGTAAAAAAAAAGTCGACGAAACTCTTTTCAAATTTTTGAATTAAGTTTCAAAAGCAAAAAATCGACGAAATTTGCAATTAATTATATTTAAAACTTCTTTTAATATATTTAATTTTTTAATTACATTTCTCTTTAAAAATAGTTTCCAAAATATCCCGGATAAACTTTTATCTCTTTTTTTTAATTATTTAAATTTTCGTTGAATTATGTAGGTATTAAATTTTTATTGTATATTTAAAAATGTATTTAAATTTCCTTAATTGAGTTTTTGAATATTCTTTTTAAATAAATATTTGTTCAAATTTTCATCAATTTATTTCGTTTTTCGAAATAATTTCCAAAATGTTTTCGAGATTATAAAAGAAGGGGGGGGGGGGAATTTTTTTTATCTCCTTTTATTGAATAGTAAAAAAAAGTTTAATTCATTTTGAGATAATTTGTCTATAATGAGATTACAGAAAATGTGCTTTTTACGAAAGCCGAAACTTATTCTGCCATGTAATTTGATTAAATTTTCAATCAGCTCTTCATAATCCTCGAAAATATAGATTCATTTTATTCGTTGACGCTTCATGTCGAAAACATGACTAGAAATCATATTTAAGCTGATATTATTTTAATTTTAGAATAATTTTTTAATTAAAAAAAAAATTAACCTGTTATTAAATTTTCTTTCTCATTCAAAAATGATTTTTTTGGCAATTAAAATCCATTCGTAAAAAGAAAATTAAATTTTTTTTTCATTATTATTTTTTATTCCCAAATTATATTTTTTGCAAAAAAAAATTCTATCTAAAAAAATTTTTCTTTGAATAAAGAATAAAAAATAAATATTTTGACTGATAGGGGAATTTTTTTTTTTTTCTAAACGAAATAATTAAAAATTCTTTTTCCTAGAATATGACACAGTTCTGGTTTCATTCTATTTTTAATAATCAATTATTTGAATCGCATTTAACGAGAAATGGAACAAGTTTCACTGAATTTCTTTTGACATAGTTAATTGGCAATTGAAAAATAAAATTTCTCCCGAGGTAAAGATATTCTTAGAGTAATTAAACGATAATTTAAAAAGAAGTTTTCTGCGTAAGATAATTAATCCAAGGATTGAGTTTGCGATAAAAGCAAATGGCATTATAAATTGGAAGCTTCAAACTAACTGGATGAAAGCTAAAGTTCCAAATGACGTGGATAAAAAAAAAAAATAGTGAAAGATTAAATAATGAACGAGAGAAAGAAAAAGAGAAAGAAAGAAATAGAGAAAAAGAAAGAAAAATTATGAAAAGAAAGGAAAAAAGAAAGATTGGAAACGAACAAGAAAGGAAGAAACAAAAAAAAAGATAATTTTAAAAAACGAAAAGATTGAAAATATTTCTCTAAATATTTTTTTCTCCAAAAAATATTTTGTTTTTTTCTTTCATTGAATTCTTTTTCACTCAGCTTTTCTTTTTTTTTATTCAATGCAGAGTGCATTTGCCTTTTTTTTTTTTTTTTGCATGTTTTGCTGTTTGACCCCGAAAGAAAAGTAAGGAAATTTTGTATGCAAACAAATTCTAGTGATCTCTCTCTCTCTCTTTCTCTCGGAGAATATTTCCTCACCTGGGATTTGTGTTCGGAAACTAAGAGGCCTGGCCTTCTCTTTCGCTTAAATCAGAGCCTTTTCCCACCAATCCCATTGCGAATATAGTGAAAAGAGGGTCGTGTTATGATTGCAAAAAAAGCCTCATGCTTACCAACACACGTGTTACAAAAAACATAAAGAAAGATCAGAATTGAGATTATCATTGGCCTTTGATCAAATAAAACGGAAAAATAAAAAGGAAATGTCAAGATGTAGAGAAAAATTTTCGATTTTTCTCTCTTTTCTGTATATAGAAAAAAATATAGATATATATCTATATACATATATAGCTGATGATGAATTTTTCGTAGTCACAAGTTTCTTTTCACTGTCAAACAGAATAAATCTTTATATATATTTTTCTTTCAAGAAGATTTTTCCCTTTTCAAAGTCTTAGGTATAGGAGAATAAATGTATCCTTTGAGGAAGAATTGACATTTCTCTTTTTTAAAATTTTAATTTTTCAATTTCTTACATCGTCGGTTAATTAATTCCCTTAAACAAAATTCTGAAAATTTAGAAAAAAAATGTGTGTTTACTTTTTATTTTATTTTATTATTTTATTTATTTTTTATTAATAGAATAGAAATAATTTTTTTAATATAAGAGTTAAAGATAATGTCATAAGAACTCAATTTTCAAGTAATTGAAATAGATTTTTAATTAAAAGATTAAATTTGAATTTAAATGTATATAATTTTAATTTAATTTTAAAAAAGATATTTTCATACAGCCAGACAAGCTTCTTTTTTATTTTTTTTTTATAATAAAAGAACAAGACATTTATTTTCGATAAAATTAATTTTCGATTTAAATTTAATTTATTTTCTGAAAAGTATGTTTAAATATTTCCATTCGAAGAGATAATGAAAGAATACGACAATGTCGTATGAACTAAATTATTAAGTAATATTAATAGAATTTTAATTAAAACATGAAATTTTAATTTAATTGAATATAATTTAAATTTAATTTTGATTTAATTTTGCTTTAATTTTGAAAAAGATATTTTCATACAGCCAGACAAGCTTCTTTTTTCATATAAAAGAGCAAGAAATTTATTTTGGATAAAATCAATTTTTGATTAAAATTGAATAATTTTTCAGGAAAAGTGTGTTTTAATGTGAAGAGAAGTAAATTAAGATTTTAAGTAGTAAACAACTTTAAAGTGAGACAATATAAAAATTTTATTTCAAAAAGTTTGCAAGTTAAACAAATATTATTTCTAAGTAGAAAAAACGTTTTCCAGAATTAAATTTCAAAGTAAAAAAAAAAATTGTATGAAAAACAAAATTTCTTCCTAAGTAGAAAAATTAATTTGAAGTCAGACATGCGCTAACGTTAATGGTATAAAATCTAAATTTAGATAAATTAACGTTTAAAGTAGTAAAAGACTTTTCAGTCAGACAAATTAAATTTTTCATTCCAAAATCCATTTATTATTGAGTTTTTCATTGAAAAATTTATTTATCACATCCTTGAATTACTTCTAACTGGAAAATAACTTTCTTACACAAATTTAATTCAGTCGAAAATAACTTTAAATTAAAAAAAAAAAGAATTAAAAAAATATTTCTCCAGTCAGACAAATGTAAACAAAGAAGTGAATTAAAATACATGATTAATAATTATAAATATTTTAAAATTGCAAGAGAATTTTTTCAACAATTATTCACGCATTAATTTTTCAAACATGATTTTTAATTTTCTTAAAATGCTCTCTAATTGCGAAGAGAAGATGTGATGTTAAAAAATTTAGTTTACGCCTATAACTGAAAATGGGAAGAAAGATTATTCATACCAGAATGTTTGAATAATTAAAAGCAATTAAAAGTTGTCTCCCTCGGAAATTAGTGAAATTTTCGTCTTCAAATCAAAGCTGACCTATTAGAATTATTATTATTTAAATTGAAGAGACGAGAGAGAAAGAGAGAGAGAGTGAATTTATTTTTGAATAACGGTGATGAATTTAATTATAACCATAAATATAATTACTCGCGCTGATAAAAATCGCGTCTACTTCCAAAAGCATTTATCTCCTCATAAAATTGTGATGTTTTAAATATTGTCTTATTTTAAATATATTATTGTCATTTCTTTTTTTGGGAAACCATATTAAGATTGGATTCCATTATAATTAGAGTGATGAAATTTAAGCGGAAATTGAAATCTTTCTTCAGATTTAAATAAAAAAATGGTATGACGTAACACGTAACAGAAGTAAATATGTAATATAATTCGATAATAGGTAATATTTTTTTTTTTTTTTAAAGTTATTTTAGACAGAAAATATACTATGTCTGACTTAAAAAACTTTTTCTACTTGAAATTCTATTTTATTCGAATGTAAATTATTTTTTTTTACTATCATTTGCTTATGTCTGACTTAAATATATTTTTTCTACTTAAAAATAATTTTTTTTTGACAGAAATCTCGGTTTATACAAGAAAATTTAGTCCGCCTGACTTAAAAATCTTCTTCTACTTCAAATCCTAATTTATTTGTCAGTAAATTAATTTTTTTACATCAATTTTCATATGTCTGACTTAAAAATGTTTTTTCTACTTAAAAATACTTTTTGTTTATCTGAAAGTATTTTTTTATAAACTAAATTGACTTTGTCGGATTATAAATTTCTTTTTCTTGAAATTGTACTAAAATCTAGAACGTCTGATTAAAAAATCTTTTTCTACTTAAAATCGTAATTTATTTGTCAGTAAATTATTTTTCGACAACAATTTCCATATGTCTGACTTAAAAATATTGGTTCTACTTAAAATTACTTTTAGTTTCACTAAAAAGCCTTTATTTTATACAGAGATTTAAGCTTGTCTGATTTAAAAATCTTCTTTTTTTTTTTCTTCTTTCTTTTTTTTTATTTAACTGAAAAGTTTTTTTTTTAATAGTTACCATATGTCTGACTTAAAAATATCGTTTCTACTTAAAAACATTTTTTGTCCATCTGAAAGTTCTTGAATACAAAAAATTGAGTTTGTCTGACCTAAAAATCTATTTCCACTCAATTTTCTAATTTATTTGACTGTGGAGTTTTTATTGAAGTTACCATATGTCTGACTGAAAATAGTTTTTCTACTTAAAAATAGTTTTTACTAACCTTAAGTAAAAAAAAAAAGTAATTTGATTTGTCTGACTTAAAAGTTCCCTGACACTTATAATTTTAATTTTCGTACTTGATTTACAGTTTCTTTTTCAATTGACGTTCGTCTCACCTTAAAATGCTTTTTCTACTTAAAAATACTTTTTTTATACCTCGACTTTAATGAGAATTTTTAATGTTAATTAATTAATTTTTTTAATGAGAAATTTAGTTCGTTTGACTTTAAAAATATACCGATTATTATATAATATTGATAATTAATTAAAATTAATATTAAAAAAAATACTGTAATATGAAAGAAGAAATTAAAAATAAAATAAATTTCTAAATTGACATTAAAAAAAAAAAAATTAATTATACTTACTGTTGCTCTCGGAAGCAGGTACATCAGTACATGCTTGGTATTTAAAGATCAATTTGCTTTTATCTGTACAACTCTCGGCTTGATTTCCTGGTGCTTGACAATCTCCATGACCACGACTGTAGGAAAATGTGAATGGTGGCTCTTGAAATGGACAAGGGATTGGTTTTGCATCCAACCGGAAGATGGAGAAGAGACTGTCATCTAATTTGATAGACTCGGACATTTGACTCAGAGATGTTGCCTTTTGACTACAGTCACCTGTAAAAAGAGGAAAATAAACATTCAATAAACATTTTAGAAAGTCATTTTTTAATTATATTTTATTCTATAATCAAATTTAATTTTATTTTATTATTACTGTTATCAATCATGTTTTATTATTATTGTGTTAATATTCAAATATTATTAAATAAAAAAATTATAGTAATTATTATTAAAATTATTTATATAAATTTTTGAGTTTTATTTTTATTTAATTCTTTCTTTCGAGAATGGAATAAAAATTATTATTAGTAATTATTAGTATTCCATTTATTATTTGGAAATTAAAAAATTTTATATTTTCAAAAATAAACAAATTTTTAAATAATTACAGACTTAAAATTTAAAGAATTCTTATTTGTTATTATTAAAAAATTTTAATAAAATTTGTCACAAGAATTTCAATATTTTCATAAATAATAATATAATTTATAGCAATTCAATTATTTTCAATACAATTTTAATAAAATTTAATTTAATTAAATTCGATTATTTTCAAGAAATTTAATATAAATTCAATTATTATTATCAACAATTTTGATAAAATTCTTTTGAAAATATCATTATTTTCAAATTATTTGATAAAATTCCTTTGAAAAATTCTATTATTTTCAAAAATTCAGATAAAATTCTTCGAAGAAATTCAATTATTTTTATTAATTGTAAAATTCTCCACAAGAATTCAATTATTTTCTACAGTTTTGATAAAATTAATTTGAAAAAATTATTATTTTCAAATTATTTAATAAAATTCTTTCAAAAAATTCAATTATTTTCAAAAAAAATTTTAATAAAATTTAATTTAATTAAATTCGATTATTTTCAAGAAATTTAATATAAATTCAATTATTATTATCAACAATTTTGATAAAATTCTTTTGAAAATATCATTATTTTCAAATTATTTGATAAAATTCCTTTGAAAAATTCTATTATTTTCAAAAATTCAGATAAAATTCTTCGAAGAAATTCAATTATTTTTATTAATTGTAAAATTCTCCACAAGAATTCAATTATTTTCTACAGTTTTGATAAAATTAATTTGAAAAAATTATTATTTTCAAATTATTTAATAAAATTCTTTCAAAAAATTCAATTATTTTCAAAAAAAATTTTAATAAAATTTCTCAAAAGAATACAATTATTTTTAAAAATATCAATTATTAAATTATTAAATTCGATTATTTTCAAGAATTTTAATATAAATTCAATTATTTTCAACAATTTTGATAAAATTATTTTCAAAAAATCATTATTTTCAAATTATTTAATTCCTCCAAAAAATTCAATTATTTACGAAAATTCAGATAAAATTCTTCGAAGCAATTCAATTATTTTTATGAATTGTGAAATTCTCCAGAAGAATTCAATTATTTTCGACAATTTTGATGGACTTATTTTACAAAAATCATTATTTTCAAATTATTTAATAAAATTCCTTCAAAAAATTCAATTATTTTCAAAAATTTAGAAAACAATTCTTCGACGCAATTCAATTATTTTTATAAATTGTAAAATCCACCGCAAGAATTAAATAATTATTTCCACAAATAATAAAATGTTTTGGAGGAATTCAATTATTTTCAAAACAATTTTAATAAAATTTCTTAAAAGAATACAATTATTTTTTAAAATATTTATTTAATTTCAATTATTTTCAAGAGTTTTAGTAAAAATTCAATTATTTTTATAAATTATAAAATTCTTGGCAAGAATTCAATTATTTTCTAAATTTTCAATTAAAATTACTATAAAAGAATTTACTATTTTTACGAAATTTAATGAAATTCTCAAAAAAAAATGTAATTATTTACAAAAACTCATAATAAAATTCTTTAAAATAATTTAATTTTCTATGAATAATTTTAATATAATTTAATATTTCAATTTAATTATCAAATTTTTTTATAAATACTTTACAAGAATTCAATGATTCTCAGTACATTGACAATTTAATTATTTCTGAAATAAATTGAATTCTTGAATCGAATTTTATTAAAGCCTTCTTAAATAATTGAATTCCTGCGAAAAAATTATTTATTTCTACAAATAATTAAATTTTTGCAAAATTTAAAAAAATAAGTGAATTTTTAAAAAGGATTTTTTTATTAAGGATTATTTTATTGTATTTAAAATAATTGAATTCCTGTGAAAAATTGACTATTTATTAATATTATTGAATTTTTTTCGAAGAATTTAAAAAAAAATTTTTAAATAATTTAATTTTCCCTGAAATTTAATTAAAATTGCATTTAAAATAATTGAATTCTTGAATTGAATTTTAAAAGTTTTTTAAATAATTGAATTTATGTGAATAATTTAATCATTTTTTAAAAATAATTGAATTTTCTCGGAGAATTTTTACAATATTTTTAAAAATAATTGAAATTTTTGAAGAAATCAATTCAAATTGTATTGAAAATAAGAGTAATCCTCATAAGAATTTTATTATTTATATAAAAGTAATTGAATTTTTTAAGAAGATTTTATTATGTAAAATTATGAAAAATAATTGAATTCTTGGTAAAATTCAATTGCTTTCAAAATTTTCAGTAAAAATTATTATTATATATTGAATATAAATATTGAAATAAATTCTTCAAAACAATACAATTATTTTAAAGAATTTTAATAAAAATCTATTTAAAAAGGAAAATTATTTCAAAAGTTAGGAAACAAAAAAAGCAAACAACAACTAACTTCAAACTGCGAACAAATTACCGGAATACAACGATTATTAATATAGATTATTGTTGTTATTATTATTATTATTATTATTATTATTATTATTTTTATTAATAATATTTATTATTATTATATTTAAAATTCAAACAATTTATTAATTTATTATGTTCCTAAAGTTCTGAACATTCAAATGAACGAATTTTTAAATATTTTTTCTTTAAATTAAAATTTTATTAGTTTTATAATTATTTTACAATCAGTCATTTAAAAAAATGCTTTTGATGGCAAATTTTTTGTTTATTTTTAACGTTAAAAACTTCTAGATCATTATTTATTTATTTAATTTACATTGTTTATTTGTTTATTATTTGTATAAATTTCAGTGAACTAAATAATTTGCTATTAATAATTCCAATTACTGTATTAAGTATTATGTGTATTTTCATATATTATGTTATTTATTATAAGGTAAAATACACGTTCCAGACGTGGTATATTTCATGAAGTATTATACGTTCCCAATCCTGTGCCTCACACTATATACAATATTGTACATTATGTGTCAAGACTTGAGATTCATAATTTTCCGCTATTATAAATAATATTTTTATGGCGTGGATTAAGTGAACAAGTGTCAGTTTTTAGATTTATTGAATTAAAAAAGTTTTTTTTTTTAACAAAATAAGGAAAATTTTTTAGAAATTTATATTACAAAATTAGTTGTGGCAAATTATTTGGCTGTACATAAAAATAAAAAAAACTTAAAAGAAAATACTTGGTAAATTATAATTCATAAAAATACATTGTACGAAAAATAAAAAAATTGTCTTTAAAATAAATTTTTTACTGTCAGAAAAAATTATTCAATTTCAATCGGTCATTTTTGAAGGGGTTAAATACTTTTTTAATCAGACAAATGCAAATTTTCAGTGGAACAGTAGTTAGCAATGGAACAATGTAAATTTTTGAACGAGGTGAAAAAAGTGGATCAGTTGAAATGCATTTTCTAATAAAAAAAATGAAGGAATTTTTAGAAAAATATTATCATCCAGACAGGAAATTTAAAATTTTTAGTAAAAGAAGAGCTTATTTGAGTCAGACAAGATGAATTTTTAATTGATATGTGTAATTTTATGGATAGAGAATAATCGATTTTAATTTGAAAAAAGTACTTTTTTATAGAATGAATAATATTTTAAGTAGAAAACAATTTTTAGACAGAAAAAAAATGTAGTTTTAAGTTTGAGTAGAGAAAAATATTGCAAGTGAGACAAGTATTTTAGAAAAAAATTTACTGCGTACTCAATTTTTATAGTAGGAAATAATTTTCTATCAAAGACATGAAAATTTTTTCAGTTGTAAAAGACATTTAAGGGAGATAAAATTGAACCTTTACGGTAAAAAATGCCTCAAGATAAACAAATAGCTTTTTTGAAACTTGTACTTCGTCTGACCTAAAAGTCTTATACTATTGAAAATTTTAGTTCAACTGTAAAACACTATTTTTGTTACAAATTTTGAAGTCTTATTAAAAAGTTTCTTTGTACTTAAAAAGTTTTTCATTTTACTGACTTTGTTCCTCAAAAGTTTTATTCCGTCTGACTGAAAAGTATTTTACTACTTTAAAATTACAATTCATTTGACTGTAAAGTATTTTTTTAATTAGATTTTTTGAAGTTTGACTGAAAAATGTTTACTACTTAATAAAAAATATTTTTTCCTTTATTTTTTTTAAAAGAAAATTTAGTTCGTCTGACTTAAAAGTTTCTTACAACTGAAAATTACAATTGGAATGAGAAACACGGTTTTCGTTACAATTTCGAAAGTTTGTTTGAAAAGGTATTTCTACTTAAAAAGGTTTTGTACTTTACTGACTTTTTTTTTACTAAAGATTTCTATTTTGGCTGACTTAAAACTTTTCTACTACTGAAAATTTTATTTTGTTCAACTTTAAGGGATTTTTTCATCATAAGTTCTTGTATCTGATTTAAAATATTTTTTTCTACTTATAAAAATTCAATTTGCTATAAGCCTTCGCAATTTCGAAAAATAATTTTTTTTTACATATTTTGTTCAGTGATATAAATTATTTTTGAAATTCAAAATTGTCTGTTAAATATTTTTTTATTCGAAATTTGCATTTGTCTGGCTTAAAATTCTTTTTTCTACTGGAAATTAATTTTTTTCATTAAAATATATTTTTTTATTCAAAAATTACATTTGTCTGACTTAAATTCCTTTTTTCTACTTAAAATTTATTGTTTGTCCTGAAAAATGTTTTTATAATAATAGAAATTTTAATTCAGTTTTTT